TCTATCAAATCTTAAAAACTAGAGAAGACATTTGAGCCCAGTGAGCTTTTGCAAAACTGTTCCCTGATTCCCACAGGAGTAGCAGATTTCAACTTGTAACTCAAGTTCATCAGGATCCATCTTCAGCTACTTTCTACTGAAAAAAACGTTCTTGATTTCTCCTGCCTGCAGCTTAACCCGATGCTCCAACCTCACAGGGAAGGGCTCACCTTCTTTACAAATCCTACCCGAACCCCTGGCTCCCGCCCGTATTCGGTGAACTATTCTGTCCTCGCACACTATCGCTGCTTTAGATTTCAGTCCCTCAGCCCGGCTGGATAAGAAGCAATCTTGTCCTCGTGTTACACAGAGGATGAAACTTTGATCATCTTAACAACGCTAAAAGCAGCTGCAAGACGTGCAGACTCACCGGGGCTTAAACACCCTCTCGGCCTATTCATAAAGTCCATGCAGTGCAGTCTCGTGGTTTGTAGAGAGCTGCTGTAAAAGCAGTAGCAGATCAGTTCAGTGTGGCTAGCATGGTCTGATTAGATAACACTGTAATTTCCTCTGTAGGTCCTCATCTATCAGCACCTTGGAGTGAGGGCTTGGAGATTGACAGGTGCAGTGCAGGGCTGTGTCACATCCGCTCTCAAAGGTAGTTAGGGTGACAGAAGGGGCCACATTTCACTTAAATTAATTTTTAAAGAGTAAAATAAAACTCACCTGAGACTTCTCTCCTCACATTACACTCTGATAGCTTGTAATATGTCTTTAGTCCATGTGGTAGCTTGTGATTAACTGTCATTCTTATTGTGGTCTATGGCTTACCACATGGCATTTTTCCCAGCCGGGAATATTATTACAGATTGACCAGTTTCCTACTTCTGCAGCTCGCCACAGCCTCAAAGCTGCTGCAGCAGCTTCTCCATATGGAAGTCAAAAGATTGTCCCTTTTTTCCTGAAACACCAGACTTAAGTCAGAGTGAAGGACTGTGTTCACTGGGAAGTATTTCCACTTGCAAACAGCCGTGGCCCTGTGTGACATCCCCACACCCTAAATGTCTTCATTTGATGGAAAAAAAGAGAGAAAAGAATCAAAACTCCTTTGAAAGGCTGCGTCTTTGA